ATTTTATCGTTAGAGAAGCAGAAGCATAAATAGTTGGAGTACGACCAGTCAGTACTAATAAATGTTGCTACACCATCACCACATTTCTTCTTCGAAAAGCCTCGATCTTGTCGAAATAATTTGAAATTATCTAAGCAGACTAAGTCATCATCATACAGATTATGAAGCTATGTTTCCTTCAGCATTATTACACCCGTGTTTCGATAAACATGTGTGGATAAGAGTGACTGAAGGTAATCAACTTTATTCGGCAACGACCTGCAGTTTGTGCTAAGTATTTCCGGAATAGTCATTTGATCTATGGTCATACGCTTCAGAGCTCGTTGCCATCCACCATGGTGCTTCTTCTAAAATTTACTGTCAACTTGCGAAGCGGTAGGTTGTAATGATTTTAAAATCGTGCGAGAATATACAACACGACTGGTTGACATAATTAAACGATTAAAACAATATAGAAATAAGAAATCCGATGCAATATACTGCATGATAGAAAACGGAAGCCCAGAGTTCAAGCAGGCTGCTAGTATTATCTGCATTAACTAACAACATTAGTCTAAGACGAAGCACTATGATGTATTTTACTTGGTGGGTAGCAACAGAATTCGACTGTTTCTCACGAAGTAAATTACAACGCAGTGAATATTCGGACTCCCACACGAAAGCCCATTTCTAAATAGAGGTCGAGGAATTCGATTCAGTATAACGACGGGGAATTACAAATGCCAATAAATAATAAGACGTAACACTAACACACGGACTCTGACTGCTCTTCTGAAGTGTTAGCCTCCTGGTTAGAAGCCGTTAGACAACAAAGACAGACGGTTGGAAATTAAGCGTTATGGTAAAGCAGCAACTGCATTAGCTCAGGTGTGTATGAAATAAATCTAATCATATATCCTTAATAGCTTTTCCTTCTACATCAACTGACAGTATTTAGATTTGCTTCTCTCCGTTGTTGTCCCATTCTTTGACTTACCGCGCAGACCTAATGTTTCCTAACTTCGAAAAACAAACAATTGTCACTTTTTAAGCAGTTTTCATAAAACAATGTCAACCAAAAGCTTTCACGACTACAGATTGAATCCTTAGAAGTTAACGATATCTATAGTCACTAATATCAATTTCCGATGAAATTAATTATTTTAGGATCGATAAAAATATTTCCTCTGATTCATTTTATTGATCACAACTGTGCAAATTGTATCATTCATCGTAATGAGATAGGCAGCAAATCAACATGTGACACATGCTTATAGTTGAACTGAATATCTAGGATAAATCAGAACAAAGACACAAGTCTACCAGATAGAAACAAACTTTTAACACCAGATAATTTATACAAACCTCAATGGTTTCAGGTGTTAGCAACACGTCTTTCTTGACAGGCTAAAATCCACCTCCACTTTTAACGTTTATCTGTATGCAGTTAAACATGGATAGCAGAAAAATCCAAGATGTTTTTTTACATCCAAATCTTGAAAGAAATTCAAACTCTTAAGATATTTTGATCGAATCTCTAAACGTAGTAGTAATATTGTTTAACTTAAACAATAGACAGTATTTTTGAGATGATGATTTTTAATTTCGAGGTAGTATTCATCACGGAATGACATCAGGTGAGGAACCATTGGAAACCTAGGAACACTGGACAGCTCTCTCGTCCTAGTATGGGACTCCTCAGCAGTATGTACCCATGACCAGATCAGGGATCGGACTCAGGACCTGCAGGTTTCACGCGAACGTGCTAACCATTAAGGCACTGGGTCGGATTTCAGTGGTTTATAGATTCCAAATTCTGTCAATCTACGATATAGCGTGACTACCACCCAAGGTCTTCAGTTGACAGCCGCTTCCTTTCCAACCGGTTGACCTCACAGGTCATGGTTTCTCAATAGAACTTCGTGATATCCATCTGGAAGCACGTCACTAATGAGCACTACACAGTAATGTATTTTTGAGATGAATGAGCGGGGTTTTTAATTTAGAGCTAGTATTCATCACGGACTGATATCTGTTGGGGAACCATTGAAAGCCTGGGAGCACTGGACAGCCGTCTCGTCCTAGTATGGGACTCCGCAGCAGTACGCACCTTGCCTGTAGGGTTCGCCATGAAACCTGAAGGCCCTGAGTTCGATCCCTGGTCGGTTCGTGGGTGCGTACTGCTGAGGAGTCCCATACTGGGACGAGGCAGCTGCCCAGATTTTCAATGGTCCCCCAACCGATGTCAGTCCGTGATGAATACATCTAAATAGACTTAAAGGTTAAAAATATAGTACAAAGTTAGTCCCGGTTCTACACACGATTTGTGCATGGTTGACCATTGAATATCATCTTACTAACATTCATATTGGAGAATGAAAGATACAAAGAAAATAAATGATTCGGTAAGTTGTTTTCGCTGTTTTTATCCAAACTCTTAAAATTGCATTCTGATAGAAACTAGTAACGGAGGATTAAGGCTAATTGCAAATTAATTTTAATTGCCTCATCTTCAATCAATTCAATGAGTGGAAATCGAGAAAAAAATCAAAAGGAATGAGTGTATGAATGATGATATCAAGTGTATGTTGAAGAAATGGACTACGGTCATAAGTGATACCTCTTGAATATTCATATATCTTCTCTCTGTCGGCTTTGTTCAAACACTGAAAAGTGGCGTAATCATTAATGTACCTGTCACTCTGGTATGATATGAGAGAACTCTCAAATTTTTCAAGAAAGACGAATTTAGTTTAGGCAGGTATGTCCTAGTCTTAAATATTCTTGATGTAAATCCAGATAACGTATGCAACTCTTTAATGCTAGCGAAACTGAATAAAAAAAAGGTGACAGTGTATGTAATACTGTAACAGAATAGAGTTGGTCGACAAACCGAAAATTATACACAGATTCACGAGTGTCTGTAAGTTTTCATTCGTCGAAGAAGTTAGCTTAGCAGTTAATGTCCCTTATATCTATCATGAAGTACGATCATTATCATAATCGCAGTAAATAATATTTTTACAGTAACCAAACGCCATATTCAGATACAAAGACTCAAATTAATCGCATACATGGCTTTAGACAGCAGTACCTGGAGTGGTAACTCTAGCACGACCACTAATTACACACATTCTACGTACAAATTAACAGTGGAAGTACGCAAATTACGATCTAGAACAGTAGGTAACCTTCAAGCTTCATATTGTAAACTGGTCGAACGAAAGAAAGCGCACAAGAATCCAATGTATCCATTGTTCTAGTGATTTTTCTGATGCATAAATAGACAAAATCAACGCAGAACATAGCATATTAGTGAGTCGATTCAAGTTGCCACACTTCACAGTAGTATACAGAGAGCAAGTGGATAAAAAAGTGATAGCAAAGTCAAAATCGATCGAAATCCACTCAACAATCTTGTGCATATTCATGCAGTAGGCAACGAGCCATAACTCCACATATGATATCAAAACAGAGTTGTGTGAGAGAATGAGCAATTTGAAGATAACGGATAGTGTAGACATTCAGGCTTTCGAAAAAATTAAAGAGTGGACGCGTCTCAGCTACTATGACCAATTTTCAGGGATGTCAAAACGACTCAACCATTGACTCCTACCGTCTCAGGGACCCTAACCAGATAGTCTAAATCTTCCCACAAGGTTCTGACCAACAGTCAGGGACTTCATCGGATGGTGCCACGTCCTAGTCTGACCACCTTCAACCCTCTTCCAACCTGATCCAACTTCTACTAGTATGGCACGTCAATGTAGGTGGTGGCTCGACATGCATAGTACATGTCTAAGCCATCTCATTCACTGAAGGTCCACATCCTCATCACTCGACTAATTAGTCTTGCCTAGTACCCTTCGCCTGACCTCAACGCTGCTCATACGGTTACTCCAGCAATCACGAGCAGTTCTACGGGGACACCTGTGACCAAAACCCTGTAACTGCTTCATGTCTTCTACTTTTAACGAGCCCATTTTACAATCATGTAACAGGACAGAACAGACTGCAGCGACGGTGCGACGGATGACGCAAGTTGGTAAATGCATACTAGAATACAGAACGGAATCTAGGTTTGAGGACACGCTGAGCGTATGGTTACCGTTAACCGCTGGTACAAAAATTTACTCTGATTCTACTGGTCGAATGGTCATTACAATATACTTGTGAGTGACGGAACAAATGATCAAATATTCTGATAGATACTTCACTGTGGGTTCTGATCAGGTATAACAACAAAGACGTAGGTGACGATGGTTGATTGAAATATCCATAGACCTTACATCTTGGATAGATTCAGAAACCTGTTTAACTAAGATGTGCATATATAAAGCTTAAGCCATTTATCTCCTCCACACTGTCAAGAATTTCCGGTGATGTAATTGTTGCGCAATATTATTTTACAAACATTCACCCTAAAACTAACGAAGTAGAACACAGATCACACTCACATGTGTATGTTTCTTAACTTGGAGAGTTGACTCATTAGCATCGAATTTGTAATTCATGTAGAAAGTTAGTTAAATCATTCACACACTCAGGCATTCGTCTTACACAAGATGACTCCATCGTAGTGAACCACATATGTGGTTGAGGTTGATTTTGCTGAATGATTTAGGTACATGTACAGTGTGCCGTGTCTTTTAATTGCATTACTTGTAGATATTCGGTAGTGTTATTCACAATATCCGAATGACTTGAAGACCTAAATCTTTACAAATTGTTGAGTCATACAAACTGAACTTATGTAAGATGGGAGGTTCTACGGTTTCTCCTTCCCTGATCTGAGACTGGAATAAACTGCTTATATGAATGCTATGTGACCAAACTTATTTGTGATTCATTGAGAATCTGATTTCACTTAATTACAGTGTCTCTAAGACTACAGTATTGTAGTAAGACCTCTATTAATAGGACACTATTAGTTTCTAAACAAACGTCAAAAGTGACTAGCAATCACACTGGAGTAACGAAGTACAATGTTCAAATTTTCCACCACCATTAAAAAGTATTTACAAAAGGATATTACTCATCTTTGTTCCGCTACAACTTCAACTGAGTTATTTCTTGGTACACTTACAGGTTAACAGATTATTGAGAACTGTTAAATAACGTTGATGGTGAAAAGTCTTCAGAATAATAGTTAATAATAATTAAAACTAGGGGGAAAATGTAACAATGCAAAACACCTTACACTCCCGTTTAGCATAGTTCCTACAGTTTTAGCTGTTAGAGGTAGAATAAAAGAACAACTGAGTATTGTAAAAAGAAGCTACATTTATAGAAATCTTTTCAAATATTGAACTAGGCAAACACACTTCAAGAAGACTTGATCAGATGTGTTAACTATGCATATAACTAGCTGGCATGTATATATATTAGCCTAACAATCGATACACATCCTTAAACAGACTCAGTTTTCTGCTTATTACAGTTGCACAAATTGAAGGAAGTAGGAGAACATGATGCTGATTTGACTGAAATAAACAAGACTACATAGCCTTCGGTACTGGTCGATTTTTGTACACAATCTTTCTCGACTTAATATCTGACCAACGTTTTCGTTTGTATATGCCCATTATCACCGCTAGGGTTGATGTTATTAGCACTGCCTGTGTATTTTTTTTAAAGAGAGAAAAGAGAAGTAAATTAACGTAAAATAAGTTTCTTTTCAAACTTTACAAGTGGTCATACAATACAACATAAAATGAGATACGGGATATGAACGGAATAAGAATCATACCGGGCTTCATATGTAAAAAAAAAAGCTCATGTGATGAATATGAGGCCAATCACAGTGAAACTTCACCTTTGTTGTCGACAAATTTCAACAAAAATCTAACAAATATGAGCGACAAAAGTCTTCTGATTTATCCAACTACATCTTAAAAGTATAAGGGGATATAATCATCTTAAGATCATTAAGGTCCTGGGGGAGTAGTATAAAATGCTTACGGTACGATAACCATCAGATCCCATTTACGTTTATCGCTAGGCCTCTCGGAACGGAAAAAGGTGATAAAACCAAAAAAATCTATCATAAAGTTCGGTAAGCAGAAAATACTTTGATTCTTACTTACTCACAGGTAGCTTCGGAATATTCTGGAGAGTCGGTAACACTAGATTTCTCAACCTTATGCAACCAAATAATTATATCCCTTAACATGTGGTTTCGCGAAAACTTTTGAGTAGTATGACTGGTTCTTAGCTTTTTTTAAAGCCAGTGGCATTCCATTTTAGTTCTTTTACTGTAGCACCACAAAGTGAAGTGGTATTATTTACTGGATGACGTTTCGAGTGAAACTTACCATCTATAATCATATCAAGGTGATCGCAAAATATTCTTGTTTACTTTGATACCTCTACTTATTTTCCATCCATTTAATTGGTAGTGAGAATTTCAAACACTCAGAATCGGTGGTGAATGACTCCAATCTCATGTAGAATTAAAAAGGTGACCCACAGTACTGTATGATATGATAATGTCCTACATTTCATTCAATTCAGTCACTAGAAATATTTCTTAAAAAGTTTCAGATAGTTTCAATGTTTATATGCCAGGAAATTTAATACATAAAATGTCTCACGTGATTGAGGAGTTTGATCACGTTAAAAAAAAATTAAATTCATCTTCCAATAACAATAAATTGGTACTGGGTGGTGATTGAAGTTGAGATGAAGATTTGGACCGCGGCCGGATTCGAACCAGTAACAACTGGGTCTATGGCCCGATGCTCTACCAACTGAGCTACGGGGTTCGACTGCTGACCAGTATCAATAATAGTCGAAATGATAGTAAATTTGGTAATATTGGAACATTATACCTCAAAATGCCAGCGAAAAAGAAATGATTTCTTCTCTTCATAGATTATTCGTTAATCCCAAACGAAGCGAATCGAAATGCATTCAGCTGCCTTGTGCACATTGGCGGCAGTAGGCGATGAGCCATACTTATCGTGTGAGGGCTAGTGATACTTACTATATGGCTGCTCAAACCTCGGTAGGTGGAGTAGGGCTAAAACCCGTGACTAGATGGTTGAAAGTCATCTTTCTATGCCAATGTAGTTAACCGTCTTTCAAATTTCCACATCAGAATGTAGTAAAATATAAATTCAATAATTTTGATAAAGAATACTAGTAGTTCAGAAAACCTTTGAACTACAGTTTCGGCTAGTAAGTGTTTCGATGCTGTTATACGAATCGCTAGTATGTAATTCACGGATAAGTTTAGCTTGTTATTACTAAATTTAGCAATGGAAAACCAAACTCAGAAGGCAATAAATTTGCTTCAATCTACAGTATTATAGTGCTATATATGCATTCATTTAACAATAATGTGGTTTCTCAGTAGAAAATAGTGGCACTGAAAATTATAATAATAACAATAAAGCCAATACCTTTAATAAAACACGTTTTCGATCATCGAGATTACGATCACAAGTCCAACAGAGAAAAGAAACAACATCTTTCGCCAACTGGCTAGTTGTAGCAGGTGTCCCATCAGCATATTCAATCAAATCATCATACAGTGCTCTTGCCATACTTATGTTGCCACCAGGGAAATACGGGTTGTAATATTGCCCATCAGGAACTGTATGACCTGGTGGAGGATCCATATAACCTATAAGCGAAATTTAACAGTGGAAAAATAACTGACATCTAGCGAATAAACCAGGATAAAAAGAAACAAATGTCAAGCAGCAAAACTGTTACTCTAAAGACTACCAACAAATGACTCCAAAAATATATCACCACTGTAGTGTTATATCATTATTAACCATATAATATCTCACTAACATGACTTCTGGAAAAACTGAAAGCAATAATTAATTATGCACTGTATTTTTGCCTCCAAGGACAAGGAAGAAGCAGTGACAACTGAAAGAAAACACACTTGTGTAACATTTGGATAGTATCACATACCGTGAACAGTAAAAAATGATTACTACTTTCACATAGAGATATTCTACCCTTTAAAACTCAGAGCTTCTGTATTCATTGTTGAGTAGTTAGTAAAATGTGTCCTCTGCCAACACACATGTTGGTTCTTATCGAATTAAAAGCGCATTTAGACAAGTGAACAGTATTAAAGATTTAGACATTCGAACTTTAGTTGGTGGTAATTTAGCTGGTACATAGCATTTCTTTGAAAACTGACAATAATTCTAACAAAATGAACCAGCAAGTTGGTGGTTAAATATAAAGTCTTGCATGCTCCTCTCTCATACATTAAGTTCATTCAAGTAAGCCTACTTTACTGAGACCATATTATCGCTAAACTAAAAATATTGTTACCAAGATGAGTGAAAAAAGTAGCTATTAAAAAAAGCCACATACCCGTAAGCAGATGAAATATGTAATCTTCATTACCATGTCGGGCTTTAGTAATAAATGTTAGATCCGGAGGTTCTGCGCCATTATTAGCTAAACGTGCTGCCTGAGAGTTGGGATATGGAGAAGGGAGTATGTCCATCAAACGACCGGGTCGTTCAAACATTTTCCCTTCCTCGTTTGGTCCATCAGGATACATATACTACGGAAAAAAATTCACAGGAAATCGATAGAATTTATTTTGAAAGTGAATCAGTTATTGAAATACTTTTTTAGACTTGTAAATAAGATTTACTCTACAAATATTAAATGGAAATACATAGTTACTAGTAAAATCAACTTCGTGATTTTCTGTAAGGAATGTAAGGTAACTGAAACAAAACCGAGCATTAGTCTTTGATAACTATGAGAAACTCTCAACTTCATCAGCTACTGCGATGAGAAAAGATAAGGTAGTTGGCAACAGTTTTCAGAAATGTCTCAACGAACCATAAGGGCATAACGCCTACCTCTGTTGATATAATCTGAAAGTAGGGTGACACAGTTTAATAAGAAATTCACCTACCAGATGATTTAAAAGTCTATGAAACCGATGACGGATATTCACACATATTTGCTTAAATTCAGTCATTAACAAGTCGGAAAAGTAAAAGAGAGCGAAACTGTATGTATGTGTGGACAGATTTTGTAGAATAGCTTTAAGGATCGACCAGTGGGAGTCAAGTCGAGTCAAAAATCCCAAACAAAGGTTAGAAACCTCAAAATAGCACGATTACAAAGTAATATGGTTCGTTAGTTTCAGAGGGGACTTTTGTAAAATAATATTTCACAACAATTAAATCACCAAAAATTCACATGACTCGTGCAATACGATATATATATATATATATATATATATATATATATATATATATATATATATATATATATAATTACACGACTTATAAACATGAAGTTTTGTTATAACATACATTTAGAGCGCTCACACATAGATACACACAACAGCTTAGAGTTGATGTACCTTTGCAGTGGTAATCGGCAAACTCGAAACCAAGTCGGATGTGAGGACAAACGAAATACACAAATACTGGTCGATGGTACTGGATGTTAGTCACGATGTATTATGAATTGATTGAAGTAGGAAACTGGGGACAACTGCATTCCGACTTAGTGACTAAATGGTAACGTATTCGTCATAAGAACCAACGGTTCTAGGCACGTCCCCCCACGAGATCATAGATGCGCAGTGTTGAGGAGTCCTAAACCTAGAACGGTACAGCTATCTAGGGCTCCCAGGTTTTCGACGGTTCGCCCACTGACGTCAGTCTGTGGTGAAAGCTACCTTAAAATCCAGTCAACCCCCATAAACCGCCAATCAAAACTAATCACAAGTGTGTAGATTAGTTATACAATACGTGTGAATCCAGAATAAATTTGAGAGGAAACTGTAAGATCAGTACATTATACAAGGATAAATGTCATAAGTAACTCATTCACCTAGACAAAAAGAAAGGGAATTAAGCAAACGGAATTTATTCGTTATGTACACCTGGAAATAACTAAAGTTCCAAATAACTAAATCCTATTAGGGTTACGACAAAGTCAAGGAAGATTGGGCTTGAACTTATTCTTCATACATAACTCTTTATTCATAATTTTGATCGTAACCCCTTCATCTGTCTGAAGAAAACAAGTGAACACTTATGTGGTTTGGACTTACGTGGAACTTAAACCTAGCTCTAAAGATGTCTGCTGACTACGTCCAACCATCTAATATCGGTCAAAATACCCCAGTTACATTAAAAACAAGAAATGAAACCAATATTTAGTCACTGGAAGCAAGTAGTGCCAAAAGACTATTAGGGTATATCTTTCTCGGACGAGAAAAAACTGGTGGTCAATAGTTCTCATTTTAGAATACTTATTCTTCATTATTCACTTCTACATTTCCGGATACCTTTTTTTCTCTATAGAGCACTTTTGTATGACAAGTTCTCCGACAGCCGAAACAGCATCGTAATTAAAAAATGTAACAATAAACTGCAATAAAACTCAGAAAAACCCGTGCACAATTTGATTGAGCTAAAAACAAACTATTAACTTTCTCATCTTGATAGGGAAACTTCTGCGGGACTACAAGCCACATCTTTCCTTAGGTGGTTAATGATACAGCTTGATGACCAAAGTTGTTTTAAAACTACAATTTAGTGGTTAGTAGTCAAATGAGACCTGAGACCAATGTACATACACTTCTCAGACAAAATAATATTGAACAAAGCAGTACGGGAGAGAATATCACAAAATCAGAATGACAACATGCTAAAAAAACTTTCTAAATTTGAGACAGGGTTCTCACCGAAAACAATCACCATCAGTACGAACTCAAAATAAATCTGAATTCCCAGAATAAACATAATGATTAGAACGCAACGAAAGTTCCCCTGTTAACTAACAGCAACTTGAACACTACGAAAAGACCAAACAAAACTAAAAGTTCAGTATACCAATATTTAATAACAGCGGGAATAATTTAGCTTACCGAAGCTGCATCTCTTTTAGCCTCTTCTTCTGTCAGTACTTCATTAACAAGATGCCGATAATTAAGATATTTCAAGCTATGGCATGCACTACAAACTTCTTTGTACACTTGATAACCCCGTCGTATCGCAGCGTGGTCGTAACTAGAAATAATTCCGTTGTGTGGCCACGGTAGCTTTGGTGAATGGGCTTGGAAATCTGAAGCATAGACAGGCATAGCTAAGCCTACAATCCCGACACTAACAAATCCGCCTGAAATTGCTAATTTCGTCCATACAGAATATTTGGCTGCCTTGAAGTATGACCGGTTCTAAAGAAAAAAAGTGATGAAATGATAAAGAAAAAACATGCTAGATTACTGCAGGTTGCTAAGTTGACTGGCAAGATAATACCCCTGACTATCTTGTTTTTCGAAGGAGGTATTCAAGCATTCTTTTGTCTCTCGTGTATTTTTACTTACTTATCTTGAGTTATTTCCTTTGCATTTATATCGTATTGTGCAAGCCGAACAAGATGAAATCAATTTACTGATCCAGTTAAATTGTTCCAAATAACTGAAGTAATAATAATGAGCTAATTCGAATTGTCATAATCAAAGAATATCAGGCAGAGAAACAGTGAAACTAGAGAGGCATAAGATGAGGGAATAAAAATGTTTGAAATAATATTCAGCCATATTACAGATTCTCAAGAAAATGTATGTATTTACAGTAGTGCAAGAATTATTCGTGAGGTAGGAGTTTAATTGGATAAAAAAAACATACTGCTTAGTGGCTAAGGCGCTTGACTATTAACGACTGGATGACGGATTCAAGCTTATTTCAGCCTGAACGACCAAAACTATAACAGACCTAAAAGATATCAGGTTCCACTTAGGATCCAATGCATACTTGTGTGGAGTTTGAGCACGTAATGCAGTGCAGTGGAGGAAGCGATACAAAGATAACTTGGAAATATCTCAACTGTTGTGAAACATATAGATACAAATGAAAAATCAGCAGAAATTTTAGAGCTGCTAAATTTTCTCTAAAGGTTTAATGCCCATGTGTTTAGGTGCAAACCACTTGAATACAGTTACAAGGAGGCAAAATGACTTTTTGAAGTGTCTAACAAATCGACTATACTGGCACAAAGCCTGACATAACAGTGTCCTAGTTCAAATTTTGAAATGACGAAAAAGATCAGCAAATATAACGTTAATATTGGCATGAACTCCACACTGTGCCACCAAGATAGATTTCCGGCAGTTATGAATACACACTTGCAACATAAAATCTATGAGATGTCATCCACAAAGCCTGGAGTTCACAAAACAGATGTGATAAAAAACTACTGGATACATTTCTCGGTGTCGAAACATTAAAAGTTGGTCTTAACCGTTCAGGGGAATGTAGGCTTTTAGGTTGACATCTGTGAGACAACCTAAGCTGACTGTTAGAAACTATGGGTTACACGGTTTGAAAGTGATCACAGTGATGCCATATCTTCATCTTAATCATCATTTTAAATGTCACTGCTCGCTTTAATTCATCGTCTTTGTGGCCATATCATTTTCATTCCTCTATTTTTTGTCTTATTTCCGTGTTCACTGATGTGAAGTATGGCTGTTTGAATAGATTCACAGCAATTTCTGGTATTACAATGATAATTGACAGATTGACAAGCTTCATTCTACTTCCGCACTACCAACACACTACTCGACACCGTAAATCAAAGTCAATGACTGGTCATGGACAGATTACATCCCAGCGAGTTTGATGGCCACGTCTCGGCTACATAACAGAACAGAACGAACTAAAAATCAGTATAATTGTCTTCCAATAAATAGTCGGATGTCTAGCTGGCGCTACAGGTGACGCAAGTTGGTAAATGCCAAATGGGCCTTCTGCACCCGAGCTGAGATTTCGTCAGCAACCAGCCCATTCGGGCTGATGTAACTTCCAAGTCAACTGGTCGATATAATCCACCACTTCACTTCCTTTTACCAAACTGAGAGTAATTGCAGACCAGTTCTGGAGCATCATCTTATAGTTGACAGGGGCGAAGCGCATACCAAATATACTCAGATTTCTGTTCAATGGGTTCGCAAACCCTGCATTTCGTCAGCACCCTCAGAAAGCAAAATAAAACCGTCTGGATTCTCTAAGTCAACCAGATGCTTTACATGGAGTAGATCAATCTCTTTGAAGTCAGACGAACCTAAGGCTGTCTATTAGTACGTCTATAACGAAGTTAAATAAGAACGGTGGTAGTGGGGATCCCCGGCGGACACCACAAGTTGTCATCAGTTCTGATGACAACTCTCCAAAAGCCTTAACATGGCTGTGTAAGTTCGAATAGAGCCTCGATAAGTGTTATATACTTGCTCGATAATCCTTTCACAGTCAAACACTGCCACAATACCCCACGGTCAACAGAGTTGAATGCTGCCTTCAGGTCAGAAAATATGGCAAGTGTTGGTCATTGGCCGGTAAGTATGCATGTTTACCAGGATATGTCGTAGGGTGAAAATATGATCGGCGCACCCTCGTCTAGTTCTGTCTGAAACCTGCCAGGTTTCCTCGAGTTTTCTGTTCTCAAACTCCAGTTAGGGATCGGCTAACTATGCATCCCAGGATCTCGGACACAATACTAGCCAAACTGATTCCCATATGTTAGTCACACGTAGACTTTTTACCCTCCTTATAGACTGGAATCATTAGTGAAGTAGATCGGTCTAAAGGGAATGCCTCTGATTCTCATACACTATGCAGTACCTCCGTAACTTTAATCAGCAACTTCTTACCCCCATCCTTGGAAACTTCGCGGAGCAAACTGTCATGTTCAACTGCTCTGAATCATTTCCGGTTTGAAACAGCCTTCTCAACTTCAAAACCAGTCTAAGAACCGACATCTGCGTCCCATTCAGGTTTAGGCTGGATTTTAGGTGAATGAAGCCTTGCTGTGGGTTAGTTGAACAGTATTTCAAAGTATTCTTTCCAACGTACTAGCTTCCTGTCCTGAGACGTTATCAGCATCCCATCCTTTTCGGTGGTGGTTTCACTAACAATCGTCTTGCCGGTTTTTTGAATAAGCCCAAATAGTTGAGGGGGTGTTATGTGATGCTGATGCCTTCTCCATCTATCTCCCTATTATCACCCACCACTGCTCGCGACCATTGCGAAAACTCCTGGTCAAGTTATGTTCAAGTTGCTTTTCTCCTCATTGTGGTCAGAGTCAGCTGCGATCAGTCTTCTCGCACCAATCAGTCCGGATGGCTTTGCGGAAATCCAGTGACGTTCGCCGACCTTTAGATGTAGGTTACCGACTGTCTATACCGCTGTTGCTCCAGTGGACTGAATACCACACCAGCTTCCTCAGGATGAGCCTTGCTGTCACTTTTATATGAATGCTTACCTACCTCCTTTCTCAATACGTACTTGACGTTCTTATCTTGTATTCGATCATAGACGGGCTTAACTGCCGCCTGCTTCCTGTGACCACTAAGGCGCAGATATACATGTGATTAGGATTGCCTTTGATTCGCCGGACAGAGCTGTACTGTGGGATTTTCTGCTGAAGAGGGACGTGCCTGGGAAATTTATTCACATCCTGAAAGTCCTATATAGTAACACCTCAGATAGAGTGAGGGCATACAGCAACCTGTCTCCATTGTTCCTAACCAGCAGTGAGGTTAGGCAGGGTTCCCCGATTTTTCTATTCCTCATTAACTTTGCCATCAATGATATTCTTGAGACAGCTCTGAAGGAAGTGTGTCATGGTGGTGTAGATCTACTACCCGGAGAACGGCTATTCGACCTCGAATATGCGGACGATACTGTCTTACTTTGCTATAACACACAGGTTAATCAAATCGTACTTAACCAGTTTGCGGTTACTGTCCGTAAGTATATGTTTTGCATCTCTTCTGTGAGATTTGCAAGAGCCTGTGCCTGCGCTCATCGTCTGTGGTAATCCATTGAAAGTAGTAGGAAAGTTCGTGTATCTGGGTAGTGTGAGTGCTGGTGGTGTGAAATTTCTAACCTCATCGAAATCCAGAGTAGCATACGCCAATCTGGGCCAGGTTACGCACCGTCGCGACGTCAGTCTGACCGTTGAAGGTTGGGTTTACAACGCTTCGGTGCGAGCAGTTCTATCCAACACCTATGAAACCTGATCTATCTGAGCTGAAGATGTGCGATGACTGTGCGTTCGATCACTGTTGTCTCCGTAGGATTGCTCGTATCCGATCGCAACACCATGTGAGTAATTCTGACGTATGATAGTGTTTGTGCATGATGGAGATCATCATTTCGTAAGTGATATCATCTGAAAATATCGGTTTCGGTGACTTGGATATGTTACGTATGTCGCCCCAACAGCTTCCACATCGTTCATTGTTTGCTAACCTTGGGAGTGGATGAAAGAAGCAGAGGGTTGGTCAGTGTATGACGTGGTGCCGTGGGATGAAGGATAGTAGTATCGGGCTAGCACCTATTGGTTCGTCACGACTCCAAGGATGGGGTTCAGAGACCACGTAACTCAGTGGCTTGAGACATCATCAGATATGGCTTACAATCGAAATCAGTAGTGGTCACACTGCAGCTTTCTTTTATTTTCTGCTACTGAAAAGTAATGAGTGTTTTGTTTTGAATGTATCTCATTGGACTGTCTGCTTAATTATTTTACCCTACCCTTCACTCCGTCTTCAAATTAGTGTTATATTACGTGTGGCGTACTTCTCAGTGCCTTTGATGTACCATGTGTGTTGTTGTAATAGTAATAATAATAATAATAATAATAATAATAATAATAATAATAATAATAATAAAAGGAAGAAGAACAGGAAGAGTAAGAAGAAGAACAAGAATAATAAGAAGAAGAAGAGGAGAAGAAGAGATAATTATGATAATAACAAATAACCGTAATAATAATAATAATAATAGGAATAAGAAAAACAAGAAGAATAATAAGAACAAGAACAAGAATAAGGAGAAGAAGAAGAAGGGATAGTTATGATGATAACAAATAATAATAGGAATAAGGAGAAGAAGAAGAAGAACGATAATAAGAAGAACAAGAATAAAAAGAGGAAGAGGAAGAAGAAATAATTATGGTAATAAATAATAATAATGATAGGAATAAGAGGAAGAAGAACGAGAATAATAATAAGAAGAGATAATTATGATAATAGCAAACAATAATAATAATAATAATAATAATAATAATAAATAGTAACAATAATAGTAACAATGACAATAATAATAATGATAATAAGAACAATAATAAGCATGTGACAGTAGCAACTCTTTGTCGGAGTTCAAACAGGTA